CACGCTCCAGTTGCTAGTCTCCACTCATGCTGCCCACCCCGAACAACCGTTCTGTGAGCAGCTGAGTAATAGCTTCATCATGAGACTGCATCTAAAGGAGCAACCAGGTTTTAGTAATTATCTTAGTGAAGCCTTTCTTATTAGCTCTTGTGTGTGTGTGTATATGTGTGTGTTTGCATTGCTGTGTGGTTTTCCCTTAATAAGATACAATTAACTTGAAGAATTTTGTCTCTGCTAATTCACTATCCCCTCACCCTCCATAAAAGTTGGGAGTATCCCTGTCTGAAGTAACCTAGCCAAATTACATGAGCTAATTAAAAGTTCCCCTAGGTCCAGGTTACATAATGCCCAATAAGTTACTCTCCTTCATGGGTTTTTCAGCCATTTGTTTCCCTATATTTATGTGTGTAAATCCATAGCCATATTATATATGTGTGTGTGATCTCTCTCTCTTTCTCTCTCACACACACACTGATTCTTCTGTATAGAGGAATTGTATTTTAAAATGTTAATATGAGAAAGGAGTCTCATGAGGAGCAGCCATCACAACTGCAGGGTGTATGAAAATAAGTAATGTATACTCTTTTGTGTTTTTCCTTTTGGATTCATTTTACCTTATCCCAGCCATCTGCTCACAAAAACAAAACAACAAACAAAAGTCTGATGTGTATAGTTAACTGAGCAGACTACAACAGTTAATTTTCAGGATATGAAAGATGCTTTGTTTAATAGGTGGAGTTTAAATATGTATATTGAAGAAATAATGAGTGATTCATATACATAAAGAAGTATTCCTCAACTCAGTATATCTGATACAAGCCATTGATGCAGTTCAGAGGCTACCATAAATTGTTTATTAGAAACTAAACCAGCAATCCTACATCCATTTGAGAATAAACCTACCGTAACTGAAAACTGACTTAAGCCTAAGTACACATATATGGAGGGGGGGTGTACTAAGTCAGGATGTGCAAAGGGTAAATAAATGGCACAGCTGCAAGTTTCAACAGTCCTAGCCAACGTAGTTAATGATGAGGCATGTTTGGAGTTGCATTCCAGCAATTCTTCAAGAGTGATTCTTTACCTACCCCTTCACTGAATTATTTAAGAGAAATATAGTATTTACAATTTCTCAGATAATAGCTTTTTTAAAAAAAAAATCTTAAGTTTTTATCCAACTTGCTCCTGCTTTTGGTGATGGTGCAGTTGTTTCAATGTAAAGAGAAGTATGTGACTATGATTACAATCCTATAATAGTGTTCTGGAATAAGCACCATTGAAATAACTTCTGAATACACTTATATATGATTCCATTATATGTTATCTATCATTCAAAGCCTTTTTGCCTGTGGTTTTATATTTCTTGTGGTTGGGAGCTGTAAACTTTTATCACCACAGTGCTCCTTAGTCCCCCCCCCCGTGCCCGTCCCCCAATATATAAATAGATTTGCTTTAAGTTGTTTCTTCTCCAGTCAGCCATACATTCACTGTACTGTATTCTTAACTGACTCTTGGGGTGTTTGTTTTCCCAGTTTTACTAAGGTTGTATTTTTTTTTTAGCAGTGGTTCCCAACATTTTCTATGCCCCACACCCCTAGGAATTATTTGGTTAATATTTGTTAATATACACTATTGTAAGTTGTAATATTCTCTCCTTTTGATTAAATAAACAATGAGACTGCTATCTACTGTATATACTCGACTATAAGTTGACCTCATATATAAGTTGAGGCCAACTTTTGTGGATTTTTATATGACCCGTAGATAAGTCGAGGGTCAGTCTTAAGGAGGCAGCCTGGCTGATTGATCACCCTTCCCAGCATCTTCCCAGCTGGGCTGTCACTTGCAGGAGCAGACCAGCTGGGGAGAGGCTTGGGACAAAGTACCATATTGACCTTTGTATAAGTCAACCAGGGTTTTTTGGACTGATTTTTTTGACCTAAATTTCTCGACTTATACATGAGTACATGTGGTATGTAACACAACTACCTGCTGCAACTTCTCAAGGCACATAGGGAGCTGGCTGAGTGATGACTTGTGTTTCAAGAACATAAACCCCTCTTTGACGCTCCTCTGAAATTCCATCTCACTCTCCCTGGTTGGGAATCCCTGTCCTAAAGGCACCAGATCCCATCCAAACTTGGAAGCTAAGCAGGGTCAACTCTGGTTATTTCTTGAATGGGAGATGGCCAGGTGCTGTAGGCTATATTTCAAAGCAGGGGTCAGCAACCTTTTTTGCCGAGGGGCCGGGGGGGAATGGCGCTGGGGATCGGTGTGTATGCACACTTGCACCCGCGCGCACTTGCCCCCGTCCCCACGGGCGTGGGCGTATGGCTGCCACCATTTTGAAAACCAAAATGGCAGCTGCCGCCCCTCCTGCATCATGCACGCATGCGCACGGCAGCAGGGGGCTCCCAGGAGGGCTCCCTTGGCTGCACCAGGGCCCAGTGCCGCCACGGGTCCCCCTGGGAGGCTTCCCTCGAGGCCCAGTGGTAGGGCTCCGAGAGGCCCGGTGCCACCGCGGGGCGCCCCGTGGCCGCGAAAGGCAGCGGCGGCAGGACCAGGCAGGGGCCGGTCTGAAGGCCTCTACGAGCCGCATCCGGCCCACAGGCCATAGGTTGCCGGCCCCTGTTTCAAAGGAAGGACCTGGCAAAACCACCTCTGAGTTCTAAGAAAACCTTATAGAATTCATGGGCTTGCCATAACTGAACAGATGACTTGAAGGTACAAATGTGCACACATACATACTAAAAAACAAGGAAGTGGAAATAAAATGTTACACCCCTTGGGGTCTTCTTCCATATAGGACTGTTTCTCTGTAAGAGAAACCTTGCCTAAGGTTGCAACAATATGTTCCACTGAAATCAATGGAAATCCATTGAACACCTTTATCAATTTTAAGAATTTGGAACTCACATATTCCCTGCCTATAGAAAAATAATTGTTTGTTATTGTAACTTATCTTAACTATGTTTTCATATTGTTTCACCTTTTAATACCATTTCAAGGGGCAGGGGTTTATGGGAGATATACTATATTTTTATTGCAATTTGAAACTTTGTAAGCTGCCCCGATTGCGCATGCAGAGGAGTGGGATAAAAATAAAATTATTATTATTATTATTATTATTATTGAGAGATAAGGTTTGGATTGGTTAGTTTTTATTTTCTTTGAGATTCACAATGTTTTGAAAGTACAGTTGCATTGATGGAAACAGTGGTCTCATATTGATGCAAGCTATAAACCTGCAATAATTAGAGTTTGTACTACAAATACTAGAAGTATGTCCAGAGCCAAACACTCAAACAAATGTTGTTATCCATATTCAGCAAGCCACAACATAAATAGCCTGCACATAGGTAACATATTATCAAGTAATACTGTGCAACAAGCTACATAGATAAGCTGCAGTTTTACAATGGGATTGCATTACCATTCAGTTCCAAGAACAGTGACCGAATTAATACATAGATGGAGCTGATCAGTTCAGCAACTGCAACAAGAAGCCATAAGTTATAGGCTAGTTTTACCCATACTTTAATTCATTCACACTGTCAGAATGGAGCAGCTACTAAAAGTAATTAAAATGAATTAATTATTGGACAGATCAGAATGAATGTTTGCTGTTTGTAATCCATTTTGTTTTGTATTTATTGGTTCATCTCAGGCTACCTTTGAGTGTAATTCAGAATACTCTCCATTTACCAGCAAAACAAAGACAATTAATTCTGGGAAGTACCAACCAACTAGAGCTGCATTCACATTGCAGAAATAATCCAGTATGACAAAACTTTAACTGCCACGGCTCAATGCTATGGAATTCTGCAAGCAATAGTCTTGTGAGATGAAGGGACACAACAAAAAGCATTATTACATGAATTTTGCAGCCCAGTTCCAATGTTTTTAACAGGGAAAATACAATATTGATAGTGGACGCCTAAAATTAAGTGAAAACTCTGGGCACATTCAGTAGATGCTAAACAAGCCTCTGGATGTATATACTTAGTTCCTTAACAAGATGCATGTGAGTTATTTGAAGGGAAGAGGAAAGAAAGGCAGTAAGTGAGGTAGAAACGAGTGAATGTCTGGAGAGTAAAAGGTTGGGCTGCCTGTGATTTCAACAATCTGCCAGCCTACAAAATACCCTCAGATACTGCTTTGTAGTTTGCTCTGGCACCAGAGTTCTCTGGCAGAGATGGCAAAATGTCTCACCAAACTACAGTTCCCAGAAGTCCTTTCCAACTTGTGACCCTAAGGTGAACCTATTACAGTGCTGAGAGTATATGGCTTGCCCAAGGTAACCCAGTGGGTTTCCATGGCAGAGAGGGTAATCGAACCCTGATCTCCAGAGTGGTAGTCCAATGCTCAAACCACTACGCCACACTCATAACAATGAGCTAGGAGCAAAGTATAACACAAGGAAGTAGCTGTATAGGTTAATAACAGGGAGGAGCCATACAACTTTGGAAAGCAAAAGTTAGTACGCTACGTCTAAAGCTGCCTGGGACCCATGAGCCCTGGTTACTGTTAGTTTAGTAGAGTGGTAGGCTTCTTCTCCACTTAGCCATCTATATAGCCACCAGGCTCCAAGTACTGTTGTAAATTCACTTGGGTCAGAGCATCAAATGTCCTTCAGCCAAAACTTCTGAAGCTCCTACTGGAAAGTCCAAAACAGAAGTCCATTTCCCCCAGGCTCTTGAACCTCCATTTGCTTTGCAGGAACTACTATCAATCACCTGCTGTCCAAATGAGATTTCAAGCAGCTGGGCTCATGGGATGCTTCCAAATAAGGGTTTTGTGGTGTAATCACACTACGTCTTTCATGGAAGTTTACAGGAAGTCCAGTGTTTTTGTTTGTAGTCCTCCAGTGTTTTCTCTAAAAAAATTTAATCAGAGAAAATTCATTAAGGAAAAAAGACAGAATATCAATATTACTTGTTTAGTAATTGCTCTCTGGAAGCAGCCATAACTTCAAAACACAAACGCCTGACTTTGAACAGGGAGTCATAAGGTAAGAACATGTGCTGCTCCATGAAGAATGTATAAATGGTGCCAGTGGTGTGTAATATAACAAAGTATTATGGTGGACTTGTATAATGAGATGGGAGTAGTGATTTATAGGTATACAGAGTTTAAATTAATTAAAATTTCCCAACCCAGATAAACCTTTCACAGGAAAACTACAAGTGATTGAATATTGGAATTAAAGGTGGATGTAAAGGAAATCTGAAATCATTTATTTAACTTACATTAGGCTCTTTTAAAAAAATAATCTTAAATACTGCAATAAAGTGTAGGCTAAACATGGTGTAGCATTATTTTCTTTAAAAAGGAAGGTGGCTTATTTCAGTCTCTGCTGACTTTTAATAATAATAATAATAATAATAATAATAATAATAATAATAATAATAATAAAATTTATTTATACCCCGCTTGAATGAAGACAATCTAAGCGGCTTACATCAGTTTAAAACCCCATACAACAAATACCCCAACCCACCCCCTTAAAACAGTATTAAATAGCAAGATAATTAAAACAGGAATATAAACATTCCAACACAAATAAAACAAATATAAAAATAAAAATGCCCTGATTAGACTCATCTGTGCTCCCCATCCATCAGCAATTGATGGGGCCACGGGGGGAGCACAGGGATCAAAGAGCCCAAGGCCAGGAGAATTAATCTGGAAAGGCCTGCCGGAAGAGATCCGTCTTCACAGCTTTCTTGAAGCTGTCTAAAGATGTCAGCTGACGGATCTCGTCCGGCAGGTCGTTCCAGAGCTTGGGGGTGACAATAGAAAAGGCCCTCTGGGAGGTAGCCGCCAGCCTAGATTTTTGAGGATGCAGCAAATTCCTCTCAGAGGACCGGAGAGCACGGGGAGGATTATATGGAAGGAGGCGTTCCCTGAGATAGCTTGGACCCAAGCCATTTAGGGCTTTAAAGGTAATAACCAACACCTTGTACCGGGCCCAGAAGCTGATAGGCAGCCAGTGGAGGGACCTCAAAACTGGAGTAATGTGATCCCTCTGAGATGTTCCTGAAACGAGCCTGGATGCCATATTTTGTACCACCTGTAATTTCTGAACCAAGCACAAGGGTAGCCC